CCCTTCCCTTGAGTAAAAGCGAGCGGCCAACTCGTTCTTGGCACTGCACAACCGCTGGCCTTTCACAGGTTTAGGGTTTAGGGTTTAGGGTTTAGGGCTTCTATAAGGCTTCTATAAGGTATATAGACCCTTCTTTAAGGCTCCTATAACGGTGACTACCCACCTGAAACTGTCCTAGAAAAAAACTGTACTAGGATATTGAAGGTTTGGGAGGTTAACGAACGGAACGGCTTTATACAGTTGTATATGACGCTTTCATGGTTCATGGTGCTTGGATTCAAGGTTTACACAGTTTACACTCTAGGAGTGTAGAACTGAAAGATTTAGGATTCAGGGGGGCTCAGAGCTGAGAAAAAAGGGTGGTGGGGGCTTGCGAGTTCCAGGTCCTCCAACACACCCTAAACCCTACTAAAACACTAAACCCTAAAACCCTAAACTCTAGAACCCTAAACCCTAAAACCCTAAAGCCCTAAACCCTAAGAACTCTCAAGCCCCGAAGTCCTATAAACCTCGTAAGCCCAAATAGGTATAGGGCCTCGATCTCTGGAGGCGTCTGAAACTTAGGAGCCCGGCTTTTGCAAATCGGATCCTACTATGAAAAGCAACGAGTCGAAGCCTGAACCATCAGAATACACAAACAGCATATGAACCCTGATACTTCCTTCTTAACCTTGCAGTATAATACACCACAAAAAATTATATTGTAATTGCTGAATTATAAAGGCCCCTGTATTAATCGCAACGGCTCTGAACATACAAAACCACTGAAGCACTATCAACTCCTCTGAAGCCGTATTGTACGGTTTATTGACCGAGAAAGAGCAAAACCTGTAAACCCTACCCTGGCCCTTCCCAGAGAACCCAATACCCCTTAATTAAGGAATATACCTTAATTCCTAACATTAAGTAGGCCCCGATAATTTCAGGTATATTCCATAGTTCAAAGTATATTCCTTGATTTAATGTATATTCCTTAATTTAAGGTCTATTCCTTAATAAAGGTGTATTGGGTTCTCTGGGTTGCTTGCCTCGGCCACCCGGGTGACCCAGTTCGGCATGCGTCCCACACCAAGCCTGGGCTAAGGGTTTAGAGTTTAGGGTTTAGGGTTTAGGGGGGCGGTTTGGGCTTTGGGGTGTACGGCGCAGGGTTCAAGTAGGGCTTCGGGGGCAGGGATCGAGGTTTTTGTGTGAAGTGCAACATAGTGCAACGGACTTTGCCCGACCCGTTGCCAGTGGGTCAGTGTTTAAGGTTCAGGGTTGATTGCTGTGGGTTTGGGGTGGTTTACTGCTTTATGCTTGACAGGAGATGTTTGTCACTTGAGTCTTCTGGGGGGCAAGATCTGTTTAGACTTGTGTTTTGTGGTTCAGGGCCTTGTTCTGTGGTTTGCGGGGATTGTGTGATATGGTTTCAAGATTGAGCTGGGATTACCATGTAAGCTCTGGATACCTTAAGCCTCACTTCGACCTTGTAGTACCATAAACACGAAACCCTATCATCGACAACCCTAAACCCTAACACGCTAAACCCGAAAGCGTTAATGTAGGGGCCTTGATAAGTAGAAGAAGGTTTTGGGGGCTGTTATACTATAACTATAATGAGGACCCCCCCCCCCCACAAAAAATAGTCTTGGAAGTTATTTAAGCCCCTATGTTAAACCCTCGACACCCCGAAACCTGTTCATTTGGAACCAACCCAGGCCCCGAATCCCGCTAGGATCCCTTATACTTTACTTGAAGGGCAAAAGGACTATAATGTTCCAACTTTCTGCTTCTACTATAATCTAGGAGCCGAAAGAATTAGAGTAGGCCTGTGAGTAATGCTGTATGTAGCCCTAAACCCGAAACCCCTAAACCCTAAACCCTAAAATCCCAAACCCTAAACCCTACACCCTAAACCCCGAAACCCTAAAACCNNCCTAAAACCCTAAAGCCCTAAACTGGTAATACTCGCTCTTCAGGCCCCTCGTGCTGTCTGCTACGCATCTTCACCATCGAGATGCCTAAAATCCTATATGCGTCGGGCCTTGGTAAATTAAACTAAGGCTTTGGCAGGCTTTGGGGTCCATTATGCATTAACGTTAGTTAAGACCCCCCTCTAAACCCTAAACCCTAA